AAAAAGCGGACAAGTGAGAAAAGACTTAGAAAAATTATCTAAGTCTTGAATGAAGAAATTCTACCCGTTGGTAAGGAAAAATCAATCTCTTGATTTTCAACGGCTAGATTGAAGATAATTATGCTGATTCAAGAACAAATGACTCGAAGACAAAGTCTGGACCTCTAAAAATGAAGAGTCTGTCCAGAATTCCTAAACAAGCACTAGAAGACAAACAGAGTAAAGTGCTACAGTTTTGAATTCTTGAACAACAGCTAGAAGACGGATTCTGTGGAAAAAGGAATCCCTCCTCAAACAATTGGGTATGTCCAAACACCCATTCCAATGAGGAATCTTCAAATCGCAATCTTCATTCAAAATTGAAGCCAGCAAATGCAAAGGATAATCTATTATGATTCAATGGATTGATTATCCAATCCAGCTATAAATAGCACCCTTGGAAGACTGGAGAAGTGTGTGAATGAATGAATAGACAACGAAGCAATCTCTAAGAAAAAAGCTATCTCATTCATAGTTAGCCCAAAAAGCTTGATAAAGAGAGATTTCTAAACTCCTTATCGAGAAGCAAACTTCTCCTCCTTCCAAAGAGCTATAGTGACACTTGAAGGTTTCCTTGCCTCAAGTACCACACCACGTTGAAGGATATAACTTTTGATCAAACTTCTTGATTGAAAGGGGGTAGGTCAACTTTCTTACAAGTTGGTCTTGCAAGTCCTATTGTTCGGATCTTGCAGTTGTTGAAGAAGCGTGACCTTCGAAAAAACAACAAAGCCAGCACGAGTGCAGTAGCAACATTGGCCTTGCGAAGATATATCGTGCAAAAATTCACACAAATGTAATTGTTGGTTCATTATTTAACAACCAACTACATAGTGGATTTTGAGGACGTAGAAGGATTACCCCACCTTCGATCCTCGTTAAAGTTTGCGTGTCTCTCTCTTTTATCTTTACTCTTACTTGCAATTATATTAACTGTGAAAACTAACCCATCCATATTAATTACTGCTCACTCTACCCACCAAATTCCGCACACAATCTAAAGTTCACAAGAACTCTAGATTAACACTTACTTTCACGTTTTCAAAACAAACGAAAAAGATTTTAAATCTGTAACACCCTAATCCGTCCAGGTCTGCAGCCCCTTTCGGACTAAAGTATTAACTTGGTAATCGTAAAATTTAAAACATTTCAAACACTTTCATTTTTCATAATAATATTTTTGATATCATAAACAGTACAGAGTTTTCAATATTGCGGAAGCTTAACAAATCATAACCACAAACATAATTTATTTATATTCTTTAATTTAAAACCATCACATCCATTCCGACTATCTCGCCTCCGTCTGCCTTCAGGATCACGTCACATCATTCTATAGACCTGCGTGTAGCAAATAAAACACACTACACGCTCAGCGGTAAAGCTGAGTAAGCATATCTAATGCGTCGAACATCCACATAAATTGAATCTCAATTCATAATCAACCATTTGATATCATGCACATAATGTTCAGTTCAGATATTCAATAATCAATAT